TGCTCTTGAAAGATTTTAGACATTTCTGTCAACTCCTTGTTTAAAAATCCCTGCTCTGTGTCCACGTCCAACCTGTACAACTGTTAAAGTGATGGCCATTTACTGAATTTTACTCAGTTCCTACTCATTCCTTGACTTTTGAAGGCCTGAATTCTAATCCTGGTATTAATCCTATAAAATCTCTGTAACTGCTTGTCAGGTGTATGAGTTGTTTTGTTTTGAGCCAGGGTCTCAAATATGTAGCACAGGCCGGCCTTGAAATGGAGGCAATCCTCTTGCCTTAGCCTCTTATGTGCTGGGATCACAGGAGAGAGCCACCATGCCCAGCTGTGAGATGCTTTTTAAAGTCCCCTCCTGTGCTGGCAAGATTAGTAATAAAGCCAGTTTTTCTGCCTAACACAGGCTTTCCTGGAAATCCCTGTGGTGACTCTTAACAATGAAGTGGAAGCTAAATTTAAACATCTTGTTTTATTTCATTTTAATCAGCCTTATTGTGATTTTTTTTCTGTTCTTAAATGAAATGCCACTTTATTTTTCCCAGTTTAAAAGAGTGAGATATTAATTTGAGGTTATAATACTCTGCCCATGATCATAATTAAGAGTTAAGAGGAAGAGCTACCATTCAAAATCTCAATAATACAATCTGTGTTAATAGCAAATGACACACTGGCCTGCGCTGCCCAGAAAGAGACATCTGTCTGTTACCACAGAACGCAGGTGTATCTCTTCATGAATACTCTATTGATACGGTATATCATCAGCATGGACCATTGGTTGATAGTCACCAGTACTATTTGTGGAAGACATGGTATCTTAACGGAGAGTCCTGGCATTCTCTAGTCAAGACTGAATCTTTCCTATTCAAGGGATTTTGTGTTGTTGAATCTTGTATTCTGAGTGTCTATTTTAGTTTTGTCATATAGTATGTGCTTAATAAACATTCATTCAATTCTTGATAACCCAGAAATGTCAGAGGAGGGATTTTTTTTTTCTTGTCACTTTGGGAGGAACTTTGAATTTCTCAAATACTTAGCCAAAGTCAAGGAAATATAGTAAAATCAAAGTTTAACTGTGTTACTAGAAACTCTCTAGATCACATGTTTAGATTCTATCCTTCCTTTTACGATTCTCAAGGCTCAAGAGAAAATGTAATGGTTCACTGCCTTGCAATCTCTCAGAAGACCAAGCAGCCAAGGCTTCTATTTCTTGCTTCTCTGTTCCTCTCTATAGTCACAGCTCTGCATCCCCAAGCTTTAAGAAACCTAGTCACAGAGGCAATGACTTACTGATGAGGCGGGAGACTGCAGCATGTAGTACAAGTAATGTAATTCTCCATGGTACACAGAATACCACCATCACACAGCTGTTTCAGTTCATCAGTTTAGGGCTTGGGCATAACTACATTAAACACATCACCACTATGGCAGTATTTACATGGTTTTGAAGAGAAGTCAGGTTTAAAAGCATCTAATTTTTCTAAGCATTATTCCACACTGTCTTGAGTGCCAAAGAAATTTGTTTCCTGAAAGATAAATGGTTTTGAACCACACACATCCCATTCTTACTAGATTTTGGATTTCTTTTTCTTTTGGTACCAGGGATTGAACTTGGGTTCTTGCACTTGCAAGGCAGGCCACCGAGCTGCTGAGCTAAATCCCTGGCCCTATTTTGGATTTCTTATACAATATAGATATGCTGAGAACACTAGAAAATAAAATCCCAGCAGTGTCTTAAAGAGATCATTTACCATCTACTCCTATCTTAGGAGTTTTTTGTTTGTTTGTTTTTGTTTTTCCTTTTTTGTGGTGCTTAGGATCATGCCCAGGGCCTCATACAGTTAGATCTCAGTTTAGAGTTCTGAGTTTTGGTTTAACTTAAAAACATACTGAGTGATCATGTCCTTGGTAGATGTATCATATAAATTTTTCTAATCTTTACATTAAGTCTCTAGTCTTCTAAACTGTGCCTTCACAAAGTTAAATGAACTGGCTGAGATTACTAACATGGCAAGAAAATCAGAATTAGCTGTACTTAGATGTAATATTCTATTTAAAACAAGTTACTACTTCATTTATATCACCAGTTATGTACCATTTTGCTGATTCTTTTCAAGTCCCTGTATTAACAAGCCTCTTTATGAAAATAATGTAATATATGCAGCATGGTGGAAAAATACAGTGAAGGAAGGGTGAAGGGCATGAAGGGAATGCAGGAGTATGGGGGAAAAAACAAGAACCAAGACATATCATGTAAAGGTAGAAGATCCCAATGATAAATGTAACTGTATTATTTGCTTTAAATGTACCAATAAGCGTAATGGGGAAACAATACCTATCCATATCACAGTGGGAAAAAAATTACAGTGAATGCTTAAATTAAAAAAAATTATTACAATAAAAAACAATGCCCTTGAAATAGGCTTGCTTTGAAAACTTATCCCATTGTTCTTGCCACTTTCTGACACCATTCTAAAAGTCCTGTTCTGGGAGTGTCTTTAGTTGCACTGTTCTGGCTGCCTCAGAGTCCTTAACGGATCCCAGACATTTACCTTCCACAGTCACTTTGATCTTGGGGAAGAAACAGAAGGTGCACCATGCCAGATCTGGGGAATAAGGTGAATGAGTACACACAGAAATGTTGTTACACGTCTCCCTTTCTGCAGACAGAGTGGACCTCAGGAGCAATGTTCCAGGTACTTTTGAGCATTCCTTGTAAAGACTATCACTTAAGAGGACTCCAGAACTGCTTCAGAAAGTGGCAAGAACGATGGGATAAGTGTGTTTGAAGCAAAGAGGAGTTCTGAGGGGGACTAACAGGAATGTCTTTTGCTATAATAAAGTTTAAAAAATTTAGATATTAGCTATATTTTGCTCAACGCATGTAATTTTGTGATTTTATGTTAAAGATGACTAGGATTTAAAATTTTCATCGAGGACAGTAGAATAACAAAGTAGAAAAAAGCCTGAAAATACTCACTGGATTTAGGAAAATGAAGGTCAAGGTTACTTTAGTAAGCAACACTTGAATGCAGCAGTGGAAGCAGAAGCTAGAATTAGCACTGGTTGAAAAGTCTGATATGGAAAGTGAGGAGATGAAGTAACATAGACTAATTTTTCAAAAATTTGGTTCTAAAGAGGAGAGTGAAGACAGCAGCCAGAAGAGAAAGGAGACACAGGGTAGGAATGAGTCCAAGTGAAGATGAGAGACTTGAACCCACAAAATAAGTATATTTTAAAAATACGTATGTTTTTATTCTACAATATATATTTTAAATATTAAGGTTGAACTGGAACTATCATTAAGTTACATAAAACTAAACAAGCTATGTTCCACCCATGTTTCCTCAGAAAGAGGTAGATGAAGAGTATGCTGGGCCGGGGATTTAGCTCAGTGGTTCTGCCACCTGCCTCACAAGTGCAAGGTCCTGAGATTGATGCCCAGTACAAAAAGAAAATGCTAAAGGACATGCATAACAAAATGACAACTCTCTTCTTTCCTCACCATTTAAAGTAAGATAAATATATATGTGCAACTTTGTCTCTTACCAAAAATACTTTATATACAATGACATAGTCCTATATTAGAAAACAGTACATGAACCATGAAACTCTTCTATAGCGGTATTAAATATCCTACATTCATATATCCCATGACCCAAGGCCTACAGGTATAAAATATCTTGGTAGATCAAATGATATAGTTTCTTTGACTTAAGAGATCAAAACCCTTTTACTTCTAAACTAGAAATGAGGTAGTAAAATAAAAAAAGCAGATGAATTTCTGAAGTAAAATGTGGGAAATTGAAAAGAAAGGCTCTGATAGGTGACAGTTCAGTTTCATAATGAAATCACTAGCAGAAGGCCAACTCAGTGTACTTTCAGTAAAGCTGTTAACTGATTTTTAAAAATGTCATTCTGACCCGTGCAAAAAGCTCAAGTTAAAGGCCATTCAGAATTTAAAAAAAAATTTTTTTTTGTTTTTTTTGAGACAGGGTCTCACTATGTAGTTTGAGTTGAGATTGACCTGGAACTCACTATGTAGCCCAGGCTGGTCTCAAACTCATGGCAATCCTCCTGCCTCAGCCTCCCGAGTGCTAGGATTACAGGTGTGTGCCATCACACCCGGCTCAGAATTTAAAATTTTTAATCAAGAAACTTTCTAAAAGTTAAGCCAAAATCCAGTTCAAAGAAGGTAGCAGGCATGTTGTATGTAATAACATACGCTATAAATATAATCTCCAAAATAATTTAGTATCTGGGACATTCCTGTTATAAGGCCCAAGTCTGGGAAGGAGATGATGGGGCTGCACAGAAAAGTCTGTAGGGTGTCAAGTTCCTGCCCCAAGACTTAGACCCACTCTCTGGTCATATCCCTCTAATGATGGGTACTTTAAAAACCTCCAGGTCATGAATAACTAAGATGTTTGTATTTTCTTTCATTCCAAAGAAACAAGTGTATATGTGTAACAAAAACTATCAAATAAGTGAAAAGATGGTAAAATTTGATTAAAATATTTAGCTGCATATGGTGGTGCAGGCCTATATTATAATCCTAGCACCCAGGAAGCTGAGGCAGGACTGTTGTTTTGAGCCAAGCTGGACACATAGATAGTGAAACCCTGCCTCAAAAGACACACGAATGTGTGCACACACAATTAATTTAATGGCCAAACTGTAAAGCTGATTGTATGAGTTTAGATGGAAATTTTCATCAAAAATCCTGTTCTCATAAAATAATTTCTATGGAAAGCAAGTATTTCCAAGATGACATGTATATCAGATTTAAAGTGAGTATGTATAGAACTTCTTTAATGAAGCTCTAACATGAATAGCTGAAAGCCAAAAGACTTAATGTTTTAAAGGAAATTTAGTGTAATAGCAATATCTAAACCTTAACAAGTTACAAGGTTTTGTTATCATTGAATACACAGTTCAAGTTAGGTTTACAATGTCTTTCCACCCAAAAGAAGTCTATTTACTTGTTATTATATTATTACTTACCGCAATAATATCTAGTGTATTATCACAGACCTTTCGGATTTCATTATTTTTATCATGCATCAGATCTATGAGATATGCTGGAGCTTCTGAACACAAACAGTTAAAGATACAAACTGCATTTGAGATTGTAACTCTTCAATCATATTAGAAAATCTCATTTTAAAAAATGCTAAATTGAAATTTAATTTAATTAAAATCATTAGTACAAGATGAGCAGAGAAATTTAACATTTTATTTGTTAATAAGAATAGTGGGGGGGCATATAAGAAAAGTCTAGATAAACATTGGAAATTTGTTAAAGAAAACAAAGTTAGCAAATCTCATAAGGACATAGTTTTTAGAAAACTGAAGAGGGCGCTCTAGAACCGTGTAATTATAAACAGTTGTCCTAGCTTGCCTTCCTAAAAGTCCAAGGAGACTTCTTTCATACAAAAACGAACAGAAAAGAATCCTGGTCAAAATCCCATGTTTAGGATTAAGGAAAAACAAAACAAAACCCTATAATAAAACATTTTCACATAAGAGGAAACAGCATTTTCAAAGAGAAAAGAAATGAAGAAAGTCATAAAGCAGCGATGGCAAACCTATCGAGCTCTCAATGATAAGAGCCTGCTGCAGCATGCGGGCCCTAAATTCGCCACCACTGTCATAGAATATATACATGAATAAATAACAAATCAGGAAACTCAGAGCATAAACTAATTCAGGAAAGAATCCCCAAAATTGCAGATGTTAAAGGGGAGATATATTACTTCAGAAGGGTCAGTTAGTTATTCAGAACTATGCAGATTAAGCAAAATAATTTAGACTGTTCATATGGGTAGTGAAGGATTTCATGCAGTGGAGTTCAAAGTAGATTTTTAAAAATATATACAATAAACTATAATTAAAAAGAAATACCAAAGAAACTAAACACCACTTCTACTGCTATGTACCCATGTCTTTATGACACTGATCACACTGGATTATAGTCTTACATTTCCTATTTACTTGCCTATCTCTTACAAATTAGATTTCAGAGTTCTGAAGAGAAAGACTTGACTATTATATACATCAGTATCTGTTAATTAAATGGTCAAAACCTCCTAAATGTGTGCAGAATGAATGATTACTTAGGTATAGAGAGAGAGAAGACACTAAAATCTCAGCTTAAGGGGATGTGTGGATGATACTGTTATTATTCACAATGAAGACAGAAGACAGAACTGTAGCTTATTAGAGGATGATAGCAACTACAGTGCCCTGTGGATATAATAATGATAAACTACCACTTACTGAGTCCTTTAGGGTATTTAGAACTATAGGCATTTTAAACCCACTAGTATTTTAATAAGCCTACAAAGTAGAAGGTCTTATTTAGCATATCTATTTTATAGATAAGAATGGTGTGAAGGAAGTTATGCAGCTTTTTTGAGGTACTTGCAGGTAAGTGGCAAAAGGTAACTTAACATTAGTCATTTGAATTTGAGGACATAGCTCAGTGGTAGATTACTTGCCTAACATGCAACAACCCCAAAAGAAAAAATTAGGTCTGTTTAATTATAATGCACTTATTTTACATCATGCTACACCTCTTGAGGTGGAAGGCTTGTAAGGAACAGTTAGCAACAAATGTCTGAGGCTCAAGAAATTTTGCAGATATGAAATACTTAATATTTAAGTAGCTGAAGTCATGAGAATAGAAATGGTTTCCAATGTAGAATCAATGGATCAAAGACAGCCGTCAAAATCTCTGACATTGAAGTTAACAGAGAAGAAAATTTTTATATGTTTAAGTTTCTTAGAACTCAAAATCTGATAAGTTAAAAAAGTTGTTCTTAATATATTCCACCTATCAAAGATTAAGAATCTTTATCCCAACTGCTAGGAACCAGAAGAGCTTCAGATTTTTTTTTGATGCTTTAATATTCACTTACATATAATGGGTTATCTTTGGGATGGAAGTCAAGTCTAAATGTGAAATTCGCTTACATGTAATATATGCCTGATACACATAACACGGTAATAGTTTTATATAGTATTTTTTAGTGCACCTTCGTTTATACTGTAATCTGTTAGAAGAGGTGGTATTCGCCACTTGTGGCATCATACTGGCATCTAAAAAGTTTTAGCCTTTGGAGAATTTTTGATTTCAGATTTTTGGGTTAGTGATGCTCAATCTGCACTAATTTAGGGTAAATAGCTTCTTTGGAAAAGAGGTAGTCTTACACATTTATTTCAAAGTGTAGTGTTTTCTATAGTATTTGAACATTTGTAAGAAAAACCACCAAAAATGCCTATTTTCTGAATCTGTGAAATATCATTATCTACTGTAAACAGTGAAGGATACGTGTTTCCTTGATTATGACATCTCTTGTGGCTTGGTGGAAAACCATCTGGTAGAAGACATAAATTATCTGACACACAAATTCATCATCTTCTTGCTGAGCTGAAAGAAAACAAAAAGTTTACATGAAAGAATGCTATGCGTATATACCAAATCAAAAAACAGAGATTAAGAAAAGTAACCAGGAGACAGGATAACTATTTTAAATTATAATACATGAGTGACACATCATCTATGTCTAGATGTTTCTTCTAAATTACATGGCAATGACCCATGAGGAAATTTCATAATAATGTATTTTCAGAAACTTTGACTGGACTTAAATTACTTTAAAAAATGTAGATTTTGAAAAAGAGAAATTAAATAATCTCCAAGATTACACTAGGCTACTTGAGATAATCTATTTCAACAGATCAGGTAATACCATGAAGAAAGGAAGGATGAGAGGTTTAAGAAATCTGTGACTCTTAAAACTTAGTGAAGGTCACAGTCTTAAAGAGTCTTAAGACTATCTTTTGTCAACCAACACATGTGAAAACTGATTAAATGAAATTCTATGCTCCTAATGTGAAATGAATCACAGCACTTACTACCACTTGTTAAAAAGCTACTCTCTTCTCTTCCTTCTTGCACGGTGGCTCACCCTCTTGCTGTGGGTGTACTCCTTTTTCTTCTTTTACTTGGCCCAAACTCGCTCTACAGAGTCTCTTTTTCTACCTTTTATAAAAGTTTGCTACCATTAAAAAAAAAAGCTCACATGTTCTAATTCTAAGATTTTGATAGAAATTAGACTATTATAAAAAAGGCATTTCATTTTATTGAATACTGTTCACAAAATTAAACTTTACAAATTGTCATGAAATAAGTAGTTTCACTCTATAATATAAAAAGAATGTCATATAATTATAAAGACTAGTAATGTTTAATATACGAAGAATTTAGCAGAACAGCTGATATCTACTAACTTATAAGAGTTACACATTACAGAAATTTAATTTTAGGTCTGCATTATGAAATTTGATTGACTAATAGTGTAGTTTACTGCAAATTCTAGGCAACAAATTCTAGAAACAGATTTTCTGGTCAATATAGTATAGAAATAGGTGTGTGGAATACATTGTGGGCCCCTTTAAGTTAATCTGTCCCAAATGATCTCTCCTATCTACAACCAGTTAGGCTAAAAAATCTTACTATTGCTCTCATATTTAATGCTCCCTCATTCATTTAATTTCTAATTATTTTTTCGTATTAAAATCATGTATTTCTAAAAAGCAATGTTATATAGCCTCTGTATGTGGTCATCTCACATTAGAGAACATCAAAACATAGTAAAATATTGTGGCTGTTAGCTCACTTTACATATAGCTCTCTCAAATCACCGTGGGCCAACAGTTCTGATTCATGTTTTTTTACTTCAACTTTTTCCAACTCTGCATGAAATCTTCATTCTTCTGTCAACATTTTATTCAACTAGCTAGTGTCTCTTTTTAATTATTTCTAATACTATACTATAAACAGCAATGAAAATAAGAAACTTCATACAATATTCTGTAGATGGGTTTCATAAATATAATGTGGTACAAATAAACCAGATTCCATTCTACTTGCATAAAGTTCAAACCCAAGCAAAACTAATATATCAGTAATAAAAAGAGAGAAACCACTTTGGAAGAGATAGTAATGACTGGGAGGAGGGAAGATGTACTTCTAGGACACTGGTAATATTTTATTTCCCTATGTATCTAATGTAACATAGGTGTGCTCACTTTGAAAATGCATTGAAGTTTGTATAATTTTTGTATTTTTCTTTATATATGTTATATTTCAAAATGTCTACTAAAATAAAATAGATAATACGCCTTTTATAGGAAAGACTGAGACTCAGGAAGAACTGTGTATATTCTTTAGGAATATAATTAGCATTTGAATTTTTATATTATTAGCTACTTTTAATGTGTAAGATGCTAGGGAATTTGGCCCTCATAATTATTTGATTCAGATAAATTTCGTTTGCAATATAGATTACAGTGAGCCCTGGCCCCTATGTGTAATGGGAAGTTTCTAGGCCTGAACCGTCCATTGCTGAAGCCATAGCCACTGAAGTTAATTTAAGTTAAATGAAAAACTCAGGTTCTCAATCTGACAGCCACATTTCAAGTGTTCAGCAATTACACTTGTTGGTCAGCACAAATATAGAACATTTTCATCATTGCAGGAAGTCCAGAGGGTAGCATCTCTGGACGTAGAAGGGAATATGTTTAGAATCAGCTTAAATGAACTTTCCTTTTAGAGATAAAATATAAAAAGTAAGATTTGTGCAAGAGAAGAAATCCAACTCAAGCCAACAGAAGAAATGATAGAATATTATTCAAGGCCTGCAATAAGAGGGTGGTATCTGTAAACTGGTGCCAAATTGCTTTATAGGAACATTCTTAAATTTGCAACCTAAAGCTCTTTGATATTACTCTATCCAGTCCCAGCTAGCAGTATATTTAATTCATTTTTTTAACTGTATAAATTGCTATAACAAGTTAAATACTATTTCCTGATGCAAACTTTTATATTTAAAAATTTTAATAATGTATTTAAAAATTAACATGAAAATAAATTACAATCATTACCATTTAGCAGTTCAATAAGGGCAGGGATTATTCCAGATTTAGCTAACAATGCTGCACAAGAGTCATCCATAGATACAGTTCCAATCATTATAACCACTTCTAAAACAAGGTCGTCTTCAGCAGTACCTAGGAAAAGTGAAATCATAGAAAAATTTCATTGAAATGTTCTGGTCCAAACTCATCTATATTATCAAAACTCCAACACACAGCAAAGATATTGAAAGCTATTACATCAGTTCCAATCAATTTTTGACATGCTTATAAATTTGTCCTTTTTCAAAATTTTCCATGTTTGCCAATAACAGTTTGTGGCGGAAGAAAGGTGGAAATACATCTTTGAATGATAATGTAGACAGAAAATAAAAGACTTATTTAAAGGCTTCAAAAAACTGTGAATATATATAAAAGAGGGGGTTATTTAGTAATCTAAAAAAAAAAACAGGATTAAAAGACTATAAAACAGGAAAGGTTTTAAAAAACATTACTAGTAAAAAAAAAAAAAAAATAGAACACACATCAAAGACTGCACCTAGCGACTACCATTCTGGGAAAGCAGAACTGCAGGAAGAATATGCTTCACCTGGTTTAACAGCAGACACAAAACTGCTCTAAGCAGGCTTACCCACAAGAAAAGGAATAACGTAGTGATTATGCAGAAGTAAAGTGCTTAGCACAGACCTGGTTTCAGTTTATCCTTGAGGTATGGAACCAACTTGTACTCTTTAAGAACCAGTTCCCAGTCCAAGTCAGGAATGGTCAAATTTGCCAGAGTTCCCAAACATTCGATCACAAACTCCTCCTCTTCATCATTAGAAATCTGGGCTGCAAGATCCCCAACGTAATCCTGATAAAACACCATTTTAGTACAAAGTTAAATATTAAGAGAAGAACTAATCTAATAATGTGAGTGATAGGAAGAAAAATAAATATCAAGCATGATTCTCTTATTAATCTTGTGCTAAGTTGCTAAGGGAGACTAGTGAGCTGGTTTAAGGCAAGAAGACTGCTATGCATATAGAGGGGTTAGGGACAGAGATCACAAAATAAAAACAGTATCAAAAGGTAGACTGAGATTTTTAAGAGCTAACTTTACACAGAAGTTTCTAACAGGGGAGCCAATTTGGGTCATGAATGAATATTTGATGAAAGCTTGGTAAGAGTTATATATCCATTTATAACACCAATTCACAGTCCATTTTAGTAGAAAGCCAAAAACCATACTTACAATAAAGAGATTTTTAGTTGGTCCATCATGCTGGGAAATGTTTCTAATCATTTTCATCAGCAATGGATCCTTGAACTTCAGAGCTCTTTTCATGAGCATCTTTAGCCCATTTCCTAGAAGAGAAAAAGGAAAATTTCTCCAATAAAACTAAGGTTACTTCAGTCTGGGGATTTGGCTCAGTGGTTCCACTGCCTGCCTTGCAAGCGCAAGGACCTGAGTTTGATCCTCGGTACTAAAACAACACCACCACCACCTAAGGTTACTTCAAGTTTTATGGTTTTATGTAATTATAAAAAATGTGCAGTAAAATGCACAACCTTAAGTGTACATTTTAACTTAGATGCATATATCTACACCCTCACAGGAATGTGTCCCCAGTCAATACTATTTTTCATACAATCATTTTTCTTTTTTCTTCTTGTTCTCATACTGTTTCCTCTTTTCAAATACAGGTTAGTTCTATGTGATCTAGAATTTCATATTAACAGACTCAAACATTGTGATTTTTTGTTGTCTACATTATATACAAATTTTTTTTTATCACTTCTCGGCCTTTTGGCTAAGATCAAGTGCATACACAAATTTTTTAAAAATACTTTTAACTCAGAAAAACTGGACTTCTAGAAATTTTTTTCTAGGAATATGTAACTAGAAATGTTTAAAGATGCAGAGAATGGATAATTAATGCAGCACTGTTTGTAACAAAGAAATAGCAACAAACCTGTGTCTAATTTTATTTCACTTAGCATTAAGGTCTCATGATACATGCATTTTTCTATAAATAACTCAGATTTATCCTTCTTTATGGCTGAGTGGTGCTCCAGTGCGAGTGTTTGTGTATGTATGTATGTGTATCTATCTATCTATATATGACATTATTTTTACCTTTTAAAAAAATTTTTTTTGGTAATGGGGATCGAACACGGGACTTCATGCCTATGAGGCAGGTGGCAGAATCACTGAGGTAATCCCCCCAGCCCTACGTTTTCTTTACTCATTCTTCTGTTGGGCATGTATTTTGCTTCCAAGATTTTGCTAGTATGAGTTGTGCTGCTATAAACAGGGGTGTGTGTATTTCACTGTAATAGTTCCTATAATATGTCTTTTTTAGGTGTTTAAAGTTTTTGTTAGTTACATGTTGCCCATAATGAATAAATTCATCTTAGGAAGTTGGTAAATGTATATACTACATCTTTACTATTTTTTATTTACTACTCCCTTCTCCTTCTTCCACTCTTCTTCCTAGATCCTGTTTCCATCTGCAAAAGGTCTACCTCCATTTTTCTATCATCTAATTCTTATTTTGCTCTTTATCTTTTGGATTTCTTTTATAAGAGAAACTATGAGATATTTAACTGTGTCTGATTTATTTTGGTTATTAGCATTATAGTCTCAAGGTATATAATAATTGTGACTTTGACTCTTTCTTTCAGGAAAATACCCAGAAGAGGTATAGCTGGGTCAAATGGAATTTCTATTCTTAGCTTTTTGAGGAATCTCCATACTGATTGCTATAGTGATTGTATTAGTTTACATTCCCACCAACACTGTAGAGGGGTTCCTTTTCCCCTAAAGCTTCAATGAGTATTTGTTTTTTTGAGTTACTCCCATTTACTCCAGTTACAGCCATTTTTTTCTGGAAGAAGATGGAATCTCAGTGTTGCTTGGACTAGCATTTCTCTAATGCCAAAGATGCTGAACTTTTCTTCATGTGCTTATTGGTCATTTGTGCTGCTGTTTTTGAGAAGTGTCAGTTTGTTTCAACTGCCCATATTTTACTGTTCTTTTATTTTTTGGGATCTAATTTTTTGAGTACTTCATATAATGCAGATATCTGCTCTGTCCAAGGAGTAGCTAGAATTTTTTTCTCCTATTCTGCAGATTTTCTTTTCACTGTTATTTCCTTTGCTGTGTAGAGCTTTTTCATTTGATATAATATCCTTTGTTGATTGTCAGTTATTTTTTGTGCAACTGGGGTTCTGTTCAGAAAATCCTTGCTCACACCCTTGTCTTTAAGTTTTACCCATTTTGTCATTTAGTAGATTCAGTGCTTCTGTTTTCAGATTATATTTGGGTTATCTCTATTCTTTTAATACATACATTCATTGAGTTATAAACTTCTCTCTTGGAACTGTTATCACTGTATCCCATAGGTTTTGGTATGCTATATGTACTTCCACTGTCTTTTGATTCTCTGAACTTTTTCTTTCTTAATTTCTATTGAGATCCACTGATCATTCAATAATATATAATTTAATCTTCATTATTTGCATAATTTCTGTGGTTTCTTTTGCTGTTAATTTGCAGTTTTCTTCCCTAGATCTGATAGAATGCAGGGGATTATTTCAGTTTTTTTGTATTTACTTAAGCAGATTTTTTGGCCTAAGATATGGTCTATTTTGGAAGAAGTTCTGCAACTGCTCAGTAAAATGTGTATTCTGTTGTTGGATGAAACATTTCCAGATATTAACTTTAAAGGAAGATTTTATAATATGTACATGGGAAAAAAATCACAGTTCATTAAAAAGCATTACACCAAAATTTGACATTTATTTCTGGGTGATTAAAAGATTCAATATTTTCTTATTTGCTCATTTACAATTTTTTAAAATGAACATGCACTACCTTTTAAATAAAAAAACTGAATGTTCTCTGAAATATCATAATTTATTACATGTTACCAAGGTAGAGAAACAATAACCTATCACACTTGTATTTTATCACTTCACCGTAGCTGACTGCTGGCTGTTTCACAGATAAAAGCTTCATTTTATCCAGAAATTATTTTAAAAATCAAAATTTAATCAATGATAACTTTGGTTTATAAAATGTTACTGAAGGGTGTGATAACTTTGGTTTATAAAATGTTACTGAAGGGTGTCTCCACTTATGACATAAGAATATTCTATTTAACCCTTAAGAATTATAACTATAGTGACTTAGATACCCACTATAACTCCTAGTAAAATAGAATTTAGGTATCTACTATAATTCTATCTATTTTCCATCAAATTTCAATTACCATATCCTAATGAGGTTAGCTACCTAGGAAGCTCACCGGCACTAACCTTCACAGATTAGCTGTACATTCCTCTTGTTAGCAGCAAGATTAATGCAGAGAGAAATGAGTTCCAAATCAATTCGTTCATCTGAACATTCAAAGAGCATCTTCATTAGCTAGCAAAAAGCATAGAAAAAAATGTTACTGAAAAAATACCATAAAATGTTTCATTTTACATTGAACACTGAAAATAATGTAATATAATCTATATTTCAATACAAAAGTGAAAAGCTGTTCAATGAGTAGGTAATGAACAACTAGCGGTTCTACATTAAATATAAACTTTCAAGTCCAGTGTAGAATACAAGCAAAATTAGATAGTATCCCTTCACCTAAGGAATTACTTGCAAGCTGGGGATTCTAAGTAAGGAAAGTAGCTTATACAAAGGTCACAGTATGGAAAAACACACAGCAGTTCTGAAGAGCCAAAAGAGAGCACAAGTACAGAATGAAAAACAGCTGAGAAAGAAGAAGGTGATGGCCAAATACAGGGTCTTGAAATACTACATGTTAAAGACTTGGGGCTTCATCCTAAGGGTAATTGGAACCTACTAAGTAGGAAAGTGTCAGGATAAGATTTTTGTCCCAAAAAGATTTAGCCAGTGTAAAAATCAGATTGAATCGTGGCTATAACATGTGGGAAACCATCTAGGAGGCTACAGGAAAAGTCCATGTGAGATGATGCCTATACTAGGTATGGCAATGAGGATTGACAAAGGGACTGATCAGAGATATGTTTAGGAGACAGAATCAAACTGGGATTTAATAACTGACTAGATGTTAGGGTTAAGGAAGAGGAAAACTTAAGATGCCAAGGATCTTGCACTGGCCTATGATATGTATGGTAAAACTAACATATAACAAGAAAGGGAAATTAAAGTAGCACAGGGCTGGGGGTGTGGAGCTCAGTGGTATGGCAAGACCCTGCCTTCAATCCCTAGTACTGCCCCCCCATGTAAAATTAAGACAAAGCCTTAAAAGCAAGATGGTGTTTTTCATTTCAGTTGAGTTTAAGTTGCCTACAACAGCTTAGTGCAGAATGCTCAGCTGGAAGTTATAAATGGAGGCCTGAGTTTAGAAAAGATGACTGAACTGGAGCTACATTAGGAATTATCATATCTAATTGTTAACTGAAGCTGTAGGCTGAATTCAGTATGTTGGGCATGGGTATAAAATGAAAAAGAACTCTATTTAATGATAAAGGAAAGGAGGGTCTGAGACACAGCAGACCAAAAAAAAAAAAAAAAAAAAAAAAAAAAAAAAGTTGTGTGTTTTTCCATACTTTATATAAGCCATTTTCCTTACTTGGAATCCCCAGCTTGCAAGTAATTCCTTAGGTGCAGGGATATTACCTAATATTAGGTAGGCTACCTATGCCAGTTAGCACTAATCTAGCTTTATCATGATAAGACCACTGGTATAATGAGAGAAATGAACAATTTTTATGCAATGATTTAGAGAAGCTAGTCTTCTATTATTGAAAATAAATTAACAGTATGTACTATGTAAAGAAAATACGTAAATATATTTTTTTCTAAGTCCAAATTGCTATTATATGGAAGTTATTTTTAGGGTTTATAACCTCAAAATTTCCATGTTTTATCTCAGCATAATACCTTTACAGAACAACAGGGCTTCATGAATCAGGCATATTGCCTTATATATATGAAGTGAATAATAAATAATATTTTAGACTCTATTCTCTTAAGTCTTGTTTGGATTGCTTTCTATGCTAGTTCCAAATAACTTAGTTTGAAAAAAGATACAAGGTCAACACACAAAATCAACCGCATTGTCTAAGTGCTAGCAATGAACAACAGGAAACCAAAATTAAATACCATTATATTGTTACATCTAATAAAATGTAATAATGTATATGCTGGGAATTACAAAATACTGCAGCAGTTGAATGCTTGGCATGTATTATGCCCTTTCCTAGAGGGCAATTCTTTAATCACAAATGTTAAGAGTAAAGAATCACTTGATAGAGAAACATTAATGCATAATAATGCTGTAAAAGATTCCATTGCAAAAATAATCTCAATTTACTGTATATATTTAAGACTTTGAAAACCTTATTTATAATTACCAGCTAATAACAGTCAATAAAAAGTTACAAATTAGAAAAAAATATAGGTGACAATCCTCTACTATAATTAGTTGAAAAATATACAATTCAAAACATATTAAAGATTTCTTCTGAACTTTTACTAATGCTGAGAAACCTTATAATGAAAATCTGTTACATTAAAGCAATTAACAAGGCAAAATACTTCTTGCTAGCATAAAATATTTTATCAAGTTAGCCTTTGGAGCATGACAACTGCCCCGAAAATTGGTTAAAAAAAAAACTTTCCATGTTCAATCTCATGTAGAAATAATCAGGAACTATCTTTTAAAATATTACTACACAGTTTGAAAAGCTACCCAACCTTCATCCTCAAAACTCTGAGAAGTGAGAACTAAATATGAAGGGAATGTATCATAAAGAATTAGCTTTTCATAGAAAAAAACACTTCAGTTTTAAGTGAAGTATTTATATCAAACACAAGTTCGTTAAAACTCCAAGTGCAACAGGAAACATTGCTTTTGATTACTACCCATGGCACTTCAAAAATGAGTGAAATTGCCGACAACTAGGAAACATTACTGGATTTGCTGTTTTAACTATGTCCGTTGTCATCTTTTACTAATTTCACAGGAAAACACTTAAAGGGCTTCAGCCGGGGCAATGAAGATGCAATAGTGTTCAATCAGCCAAGTCCCATATTGGGTATCAGATACCAACGACCCAGGACTGAAATCACTGTGTCTAGACTCTCTGGCACCTGCCTTCACTTATTTACCAGTGACCAGAGGCCAACCCCCACAGCTCTCCGCATTCACGTACACCTCCTCCTCCCCCACTGCACTGCCCCAACATCTTTGAATGATTACACCAGAACTCCGCAAGCCTCCGGAATCTCTTCTGACTGCCTACTCCCTAACTCTTGTGTTTGAAGTGATGCTCTGGTTTCTGAACTTCAGCAGATAATGGCAGGCAAGAGCAAAGGGGGCTGTCAGAAAGGACGTTTACCAGCATTCAGCTAAAAAAAAAAGGATATAGATCAAAGAGGACCCAAATAGGACAACGGTGGGGGAAAGCATGTGGATCACTATGAAGACTCTTGAGCAGTGTTCTAGGGTAAAATATTAAATAACACCATGACATCACTACCTAACCATGTACTTTGATTGGCTGTTCTATTACCAATAAATACTTTCATAAGCATCTGGATGGCATTTGCACCTATTGAAACAAAACATACGGAGGTCTAAATAACAATGAACTGTTAATGTGTACTTTTAACTATTATTAGAATACAACCATTAACTCCTGGTTATCCCAAATACGCCTACTTGAAGCAATCTACCCACTGAGACCATTAAGACCATGTATAAAGCACGATTTGATCTGGCCCCCAAATTTTGCAGGATAGTGACAAATGGGAGAAGAAAATTAGAGAACATTGGATAATCAGAGACAATGAAGTATAGAGAACGCAAAGCAGTAGAGTTTGGGGAAATATTGCAAGATCTGTTTCATGTATTGGCACCTATTCTTGATGGTAAATGTTTTTAAAAAATTTACTTCTAAATTACAAGTTCATCTTACAAAACATTCTGTATAAGAAAGGCAGTATTTAGACTGAATAGATTAAAAATGAGAAACAAGAAAGACAACATTTTATTGAGAAATTTTACTAATTTTGAATAGTGATTTACAGTTAATAGTCTATATATAATATCTGATATTAAAGAATAACCATATTCCACTTTTTTGATCATTTAAATGAACCTGCATTACAAGTGAGCCATTACTTTCTTATCTTTGAATTTATTTTACACTGTGCTTTGAAATATTTATGTGCAATACCTGAAGATCTTTACTACACTATTTAAAAAAAATGTATATATTTTTATCTGTCGGTCGGTCAGCTGGTCAGTCTGTCTGTCTGTCTATCTATCTATCTATCTACCTATCACAGGGGATTGAACTCAGGACCTTGTACTTGCAAGGCAGGCACAGCACCACTGAGCTAAATCCCTGGCCCTTAAACAACTATTAATATACATAATTCAAGAAGAACAAAGTATTACATTAACTCTCAAACAACCCATATGGCTTTCTTTAATAAGCAGGTTAATCAGATGCTGTTACAAGTAAGTTTAAAGCCTCATTAGCAACTATTAACATCTCTGAAAGGAAAAGAGATTTCACCTAATTTGTATTTGTTTTATTTTCCATCACTCTCTTATTTTGCAACAGACCTGGCAGTAGGTAGCAATAGTCACAGCAACATTTTCCTAAATATTATGTCAAAACTGGGCACCATGAAGTACAAGTTATAGACTAAGTGGAACCTTAGGTATAAACATTCTAGATTTGTTTTTTTTTTTTTTCCAAAATACTGTCTCATACTAAACAGTTTTAGATATTTACAACACAATATGGTACATAACCTCAGTATTCCAGTAAGAGCTGAAGTCAAACAAAAAACCTTGAGCCCTGAATGAGTTTTGGAAAATTTTGTTCATGAAATACAGATTACAAATGTTCTGAAAATTCCACTGCTGCTATTTCTGGTGTTAGAAAATGGGCTGGCAAGAAAACATGAAGGAATACTGTTATTGAAAATGTATGGGGAAATTATAAGAACAATGTCTAAAAGCCTAAAGAGGCTTATTTTATTCATTAATGATAAAGCTTTATAATTTATATTTGACATTACACATTCTAAAAGAATAAGACAATCACAAATTCAAAACTCAATGTTAAGTTTTCTACCCCTCCTTGGTTTGCATTTATTTCTCTTTAATATCATTCTTTAAAAATTCTAAATGTGATAAAACAATGAATCTGTTCAAGAATGTTTTGTCCTTTTTGGCTGCTGTTCAATTCATATCCTGTAGTCAATGAAGTTTTGACATTAAATGAGATTGAAAAAGGAACACCCTTTGAAACTGCAAAGCAGTAACCTTTAAAACAGATGGAGTGAGACTGTAGTAAATCACCTATAATCTCCCCTTGACATGGCTACTCTTTTACTGAAAACTTGTTTGACAAAAAGTTTGATCACACTCCTCATTGGCTATAGTATGAAACCTGCTATCTCTGTAAGCCCTGCCTTGTTAGATAAGGTGTGTTGTGTATTCTTTGAAGGGTGTCTACTTCCTATAAACAACCATAATTCATTTGTCCCTTGATATGAAAGGCTAAGAAATTATCCTTGAGAGCTCATCAGGTTTTAACTCCATGTAAGTGAAGTGTTAAAATGCTAGAATAGCAAATTTAATTTTAATTTTAATACTGTCCTCCTAATTTGCAATAGAGGATGTCAATGTGAATTAATGTAGAGATAAATTATTATACATGTCAATTACTTTATCATACATTTAATATTCTTCATATTTTGACAATAGGAAATTGTTCAGTAGGACTACTAAGAGGAATTATTTTAGGAAGTATGACTTGGTCATATTCCTTTGAAGTATTTTTTAAAAGTGTGTTGTTTTGTATATTATAAATTTTGCAATTTTGTTTTTTCTATTTTAGAAAACTATAAAAGTAATTAATGTTAAAAAGCAGAATAATCAGTGTTCCAATCATCAGATATTCATATTAGTGGAGCCTGGTTTACTAATGACTAATGGCACAATGTGATTATTCCATAAATGTAAATATCCCTAAGGGCACAATCGCATAGATATGGAATCTCTAACCTTAAAACAGATTCTATATTTTTAAAAAGCCAGTAGGCTTCTTCAAAACAGATAGACCTAACATGAGAAATATATCAAGCAAGAGAGGTGGTGCATGTCTACAATTTCAGCTACTCAAGAGGCTGATGCAGGAGAACTACAAGTTTAAGGACTGCCTAGGAAACTTATTAAGATACTATTTCAAATAATATGGATGGGGGCTGGGATTTAGCTCAGTGGCACCATGCCTACCTTGCAAGTGCAAGGTCCTGGGATTGATCCCTGGAACCCCCAAAATATATGTATGTGGCTGGGGATATAGCTCAGTGGTAGAGCACTTGCCTAGTAGGTGTGCGGCCCTGGGTTCAAATCCTAGTACACAAAGAAAAAAAGAAAAGGAGATAAAAGAAGTGGGGGGGGGGAAGGAGAAGGGAGGGGCAGTAAAAAAAACTGTTCTTGAAAACCAAGCTTTTAAAACAAAATGCAAGGCACTTAAAACTATCAACTATAAGCTAAATTAAAAGGCAAATGAAAACTAGGAAATATCTGTAACCAACGTTCATTGGAATATAAAACAGAAAAATGCCACACTATTAGAGAAACAATAATAACCACTATTGTTAATCATGAAACGCTAATTGGATATATAAACTTACTACTTCTTAGAACATAATTTGGTCAAAATGTATCAAAGGCACAAGTACTCTTAATGAAAATTTATATATGTGCGTAAGGATTTGCTTATATTTTTATGTGATAAACTGGAAAAAGATCTAAACATAATTTAACAACATTTAATGGTCATGAAACAGAATACATCTACATATTAGAAAAAATGTTTGAAAAGTATTCAATGGAACTATACTGATCTATTAATAAAGCAATATATGAAAATCATATATGCCATATAATCTCAATATATTATTATTTTTTAAGTGTATAGAAGAAAGTGTATCAAAATCTTAAATAACTAGGTTTGGGATAACAGAAAGTTATTCTCATTTTTCCACAATCCTGTTCTTTATTTGAATGAAGTGCTGAGGACTGAACCCAGCTTGGACACGACAGGCAAGTGCTTTACCACTGAGCTAGGGATGTACCTCCATTTCTGTACTTTCTGAATATTCTACAACAAATTCATATTTTTGATATTTTTAATGAAAATTCAATCTTACAAATCAGGAGAAGAGAGCAAAACAAAATACATATTTTAAGTGTTAAAACACTTACCTGTGGTATACAATCAGTGTATGCAAACATTGATTTAAAGCGATCATCCATGCTTATGTGGTAAAGCACACATATTGCTATTTGTTTGTAGTTTTCATTGCCTAAGAAGAAATAATGGATATAGTGAAGTATACACACACACACACACACACACACACACACACACACACTCTATAATACTCAGATTAATATGCTAAAACTTAAAACTATTGAGTCAAACCCTTATAACTTAATGTGGAAAATATTCAGAGCTCCTTAATTCAGATCTGAAGCCTGGAGCACACTAATGTTTGCTGGGATACATTTGGGAAAAAAATACCCACAACCCTAAAATTGAACCACTTTCAGTAACCCCAAAATAAAACAGGGTGCATCACTGACCTCCTCTATCCTTATTGTTTTATCATCTGGTTCATGCAATCTCTTGACAATTATATGAGAAATATTAAACAAAAAGTATATATGATTTATATGAATCAAAAACTGGAAATATTCAAAAGATGAAAGTAGAAATGATTCATAACAAAAATATGTATGAGTATAAAATGCTACACTAAGCATAGGACAAGGAATATCTTCTCAGCATTTCTGAGGTTAGATTGTTCTGAGCTTTGGATGTAGCCCAATGCTAGAGCACTTGCCTAGATATAAAGCTGGGATATATGAGAAAAAGTCATATTTAAAATCTTAAAGATGAATATTACTAAGTAAATGGCTATAGAAGATGTAATATTTATACTAATTATTTAAGGTTGAGAACTGTATTTAGAGAGAAGAGCAATATAAAAATTGTGAAATCACTCAAATAAGATTACAGACAAACTAGGTAATTTTTACCCCCAACATTTTTCTCTTGAAATCAAAGCAATTAAATTATAACATTTGTAGTTACTAATATTAGATTTTCATAAATCACATCTTTACACTATTGAAGGCATTTATTTATACTTATTTTAAAACCTCAAAGTACACTTGCCGTAGGGAAATATATTTAAACAGGTTTCTAAAATGTGAAGGTGAAAAATGAAAATAATCCAACTTTACAGTGCTTCATAGTATTAAATCCTTTTTTCTCCTCAGGAAGTGAGCTATTATAAAATCTTTTCAAATAGCATACTAAAGCAAGCTCTTATGTTCTGAATACCAGTTTCTTCCTGCTCTTCTAGGTTTTTTTTTTGTTTTTTTCATCTATAGATAAGTTCTAGTGCTACTTAATTTTCACAAAATATTATTTGAAGATATTTTCTCTATATAATGAATTTACTGAAAAGTAGGATTTGAAACCATGCAACTTACTTGATGGTAAAAGGAACAAATAAAAATCAGTAACCAATATAAAAGATTCCTCACTACCAAAGTAAATCATAAAACACAAAAATCCAATGTGGAACTAAGAATGAAATAGAAAAAGAAGTTTTTAATCTGTGCTCCAGGACAGTCTGTCCATTGTCAATGTAAATAAAAAGATTTTAAAAAACAGTGTCTTTCCAAAAGAATTAAAAGAATTATACCACAGTGATATATGTGCACCCATGTTTATAGCGGTACAGTTTGTAATAGCTAAAACTTGAAATCAACCCAGTTGCCCATCAGTTGGAGACTGGATAAAGATGTGGTTTTTCTATAAAATGGAGTACGACTCAGCCATAAGGAATGAGAAACTAGAGTCATTCATAGGGAAATGGATGCATATTGAGGTCATACTCTTAAGTGAAATAAATAAGACACACGTGTAAATACTGAATAGTTTCTCTGGTGTGAAAAACTAAAAGTGTAAATAAGATCCAAATTGTATAACTGATAATGTGAAATAGGAAGAAAAGGGCTAAAGGTGTAGGGATAATGGGAAGGGTAGGGGAAAGGAAATGAGGGAAAAGAAAAAATATGAAGAAAGGAAAAAATGGAAACAAAGTCTTTGTAAATAGGGGAGGGTAGAGGGGGTGAAGAGAGGGCAGGGGAATAGGGAAAAAAATGAGAACTAAGATCTATCATGTAAAGGTACAAGATCCCAATGGTGAATGTAACTGTACTGTATACTTAAAAACTACCAATAAACTCAATAAAAAAGAAAACAACAACAAAAAAAATGTCTTTAGGTGCTGCATCACATATATAGAGAGAGGAAATAAAGGTTTGCCATTAAGAGATACTGTGTTTTCTTTAAAGGATAACAAGACCAGTCTTCTCTGTCTCTCCCCGATCTCTGTCTCACTCACATATACATATATGTATCGAATCAGGATAGAATGTATAGAGAAGAATCCCAAATTATAAGTTGGTGAATAATATGTAAAAAAGTTCTCATACAGAACAAAACTTTTATAGCAAATCTAAATATCTACTTGCAAAAAATGTGGTGCTTCCTCAGCAGTCAGTCCTAATTCTGTACTTGCTCATATACTCTTTCTTTTTCACTTCATACTCATGGCCAAAGGTACAGTCTTGTAATTCTTCCCTATACCATTGTAATTCTTCTCTACCTGTGATCCTCTATTAAAAACAAACGTAGATGTAAATACAAAAAACAAAAACCCTCTCAACATGCCTCAAATTTCTCATACTCTTTTCCTATAATGATCAACTTAGCCAGAAATTTGCTGAAAACTAAAAAAAAAAGGACTAAAAGAAACAGAAACTCTTAAGGGCATCAGGTTATAAGATAACCAAACTTTCTAACCAAAATTCTTTGAGAGGAGGGGAAAGAGAAAGGGCTAAACAAAGTATTATTCCTATTCCACGTTCAGCATTCATTTTCTAAATTTAGTCTTGACAACAACTGAAGAGGTAGGAAATGTTTTGTCTTCAAGATTGGGCAATAACACTGGCTAGGGTTCTAACTCTTTCAAAAGGAAACACAGCTGTAAATCTGGGATTCATGCCTAGCACTGACTATACAGCCCATGCACATACTTTCATGAGCCTTCCAGGAAACAGCAGCAAGAGTGAAACCAAAAATGTCAGGTAGGTAGGGGATACAGCTCAGTGACACAGTGCTTGCGTACTATGCACGAGGCCCTAGAGTTCCACCCAATGACTGCAAAAAATAAAACAAAAGCAAAAAACAAACCAAAGCCAGACAAATAGCATCATTACCCCTTAGGGTACAGTACAGGAGGGAGATGCTCCTGGAAGAGATGCTGTAGATCTGGGGCTTCTGGGAAAGAAAGTGCAAAAATTGGAGAAGCAAGAGATGAAATGCAGACACGAAATCATAGAATCTGTGTCTAGGTATAGTAGGTACCAATGGATGACTGATATTCCTGGCAGGGGCAGACTGCTCTGAAGGAAGCTGGCTTAGGTTAAATTTGTGATTCTGACACTCATTAGCTATCTGGCCTTGTAGGCTGTTTAGATTCTGTACTTCAGTTTCTTTATCTGCAAAGTGAGATAACGACTTTCCTTATCTCAAAAAGTTATTATGTAAGGATTAGGTGACAGAATCCTGGTAAAGCACTTACCACAGTCTGACAATGCTAAATCAATTCAATAAATTTATTGTCATTAGGTTATCAAAAATAATATTTTGTTTCACCAAGAGAACAGTATTACCATCAATTCCTAATACACATGTTGTGATGTATTCTTCTATTCTCAAAACTATGGTTAGAAGTCAAGCAGGTTTGAGAAGCAGCCAAGATTTCTCTGTGATTAGCTAGACAGGGTTCAGAGGGTTACTCTGAACCTGTGCTTGGCCACTTTTCCATCTAGTTATTTTCTTATAAAGCTTTGTTATTCCAAAAGTATGGGATTAGAAAGTCATCTTACTTCAGAGGCTCCACTCAAGTGACCCTTATCTAATAAGAATCCTTCATCATTCTCTTATTCTCAAATTCTTCACTAAAAACTGAGAAAGGAAAATGAGTTCCTCCTTCCCCCACTGGCTTCCACACACGTTATAAATTTCTCCTTCTGCTTTCATGCTTTCCTATCTGGAATGGAACTTGTTTTCACTTTTAGAGTGGTCAATGGCCATGGTGGTGATGGGCTACCATGTGATGAAAGGACAGAGAAGTCTGAGAACACTAAAAACAAAACTCCTAATTAGCTGCACTGCTTCCACCAACACAGAGGTAAATCCCTTCATGTTTGGTCTACACACAGCTGGACCAAAGACATAGGAATATAACCAGAGCTGAGCCAGACATATTTTTTCCCTTGAGGAAAGTGTGTGAAAAGAGGTGATGACAGATCTAAGGGACCATAATATATTCAGAGATTTATCTAAGCCAAGTTGCTGATGTCTACTTGATTCTGTCTGGGCAAATGTTCTCTTAGAATTCAAACAACTGATTTACAAATACCTGCACAATTAATTTTCCCATTTATTATTTAAGTAGGGAATGAAAAAAGTACAAACTGGTATTCATTCAAACTAGCCCTTTCAGTCCAAATAATGTAATATTTTATAAATGCCCTTGTTGCCCAGATGTTACCTTCCTGATTCTAATTTATATCTTGCTGTTACAAATCACACAATTTCTTTTCACCTCTAAGAAAGTGCAATATATGAAGATTATAGTACATAAATCACAGGTATCTTATTCACTGTATCATAAATGATTATATAAAAGATGAATTTCTTAATAAAAATGCAGCCTATAACTTCACGGCATCTAGTAGATAGCTGACAGTGACAACAAAATGACAAAACATTTTAAGACCACAGTGAGTATGTGGAGCGGGAAGATGTCTAGAAATACAGCCTGATTTCATCTATACAAACCCAGCTAAGCACAGAAAATAACATCTGGTTGGCAGCCAACATTTATTGTTTTTACTTAAAGGCTGATCTACAGATCACATAGCAATAATCTGCCATTAGAGAGACTGAATGGTCCAAGTAAAATTAAGAGTGTATCCTTTACTAGAAGCTAATAAATAGTCTTCTTCACTCACTAGAAGGATATCCGAGTCCTTAACAAAATAAACCTCAAGAAAATATTACATACCCTAAATGAATTCCTACAAGAAACAGGGTGACAGGGTATGATTTTCTCCTAAGAATTCATGACTAGAAGCCACAAACCAGCTATGATTACTCCACACCCTATAACTGGCAGACATTTCAAAAGGTCTCCTTTAAGACGTACAGACATCAATT